ACCCCCATCCCTTTTTATTTTTTTTTATTTTGAGACAGGGTCTCACTAAGTTGTTTAGAGCCTTGCTAAATTGCCAAGGCTGGTCTGGAACTTGCCATCCTCTTGCCCCAGCCTCTTGAGTTGCTGGGATTACAGGCATGCACCATGACACCAGCCTGTGAAAATCTTTAATAGCACATAGACGTGAAGTTACATGCAAGTCATTTACTAGAAAGAACTATCAGAAACAGCTAGACGAGGCCAGGTGTGGTGGCACACCTGTAATCCCAGCCATTTGGGAGACTGAAGCAAGAGGATCACAAATTCAAGGCCAACCTGAGAAACTTAGTGAGGTCCTCAGCAATTTAGCAAGATCCTGTCTTTGTTTGTGGTGCTGGAGACTGAACCCAGGGCCTTGTGCCTGCGAAACAAGCATCTACCATCTGAGTTGTATCCCCAGCCCAGGACCCAGTCTTGATTGATTGATTGTTACTGGGAATTGAACCCAGAAGCACTTAACCACTGAGCCTCATCCCCAGCCCTTTCTATTTGTTTCATTTTGAGACAGGGCCTCACTAARTTGCTGAGGTTGGCCTTGAACTTGAGATCCTCCTGTCTCAGCCTCCCAAGTCCCTGTAATTACAGGTGTGCAGCCCTGTGCCCGACTTGACCCACAGTTGTTTTTTTTTTTGCCTTTAACTTCTTTATTATGAAATATGACAAATATACAGAAAAGTGAAACTCCATAAATCATTTTAAAATAAGCCTTCCATATAACCACCACCCCAGGTCAAATATGAAATGTTTCCAACACTCAAGACTTTTCCATGCCTCTTCCCATTATAAGTCCCTACGACAACCCACCTCCACAGGTCACTGCTGCCTGTTTTATGGTATTTGTTTCCACACTTTCATGGTTTTAGCATATCAGACATCATGGATTAGTTTTGCATGCTTTTGAAAGTTATTTTTTACTTGTCATTGGTTGTTTATTTTATTTACTTATATGTGGTGCTGAGAATCAAACCCAGTGCCTCACACATGTTAGGCAAGCACTCTACTGCTGAGCCCCTAGTTTTGCATGTTTTTTGAGCTTTGTGGGCTTAAAAAATTTGTATTCTTTGTGCCTGGATTTTTTCTCTTAATAATATGATTGCAATATTTATTCATGTTCTTTACATAGCTGTGGCTCAATCATTTTATGATAAAATTCATTCAACAGTGACCCACAGTTATAAAGTCAGTGTGTGGGTGGTTGGCCTCACTGCTCAAGGGCAAGGGGATGTGGGATGGGTGGGGGGCACATGATGCAGTATGTGCCAGAAAGCAAGAGAAAAGAAGACTAGGAGCAGGGGTCCGTCTACCCCCTCAGAATCACGCTCCAATGATACAAAGACCTCGCAGGCCCCACGTCCTTAGTTTCTCCAGCCTCCCAATAGTGCCATCCTGTGGACCATGCCTCCGATAGAACTTTGGGGACACTTAAGGACATATTTTAGCAAGAGGTTCCTCATGGGGAAAAAAAGAAAGAAAAAAGATACAAATGCTGATCATCCATGTGGTTGCTGTAGAATTTAAGATATTTTCTAGTTTGTTTCCTTAGAAACTCCAAACACTGCTGGGAGAAAAGGATGTGGCAGAGAGGTAAGGTAGAATAACATGCACCTGATTTCTTTTTCTTATTGATATGGAGGATTGAGCCCAGAGGCACTTTGTCACTGCTGAGATACATTCCCAACCCTTTTCATTTTTAATTTTATTTTTCATTTATTGGATACTGGGGATCGAACTCAGGGGCACTCAACCACTGAGCCACATCTCCAGCTCTATATTGTATTTTATTTAGAGACAGGGTCTSGCTGAGTTGCTTAGAGCCTCACTTTTGCTGAGGCTGTCTTTGAACTCCCAATCCTCCTGCCTCAGCCTCCTAAGCCACTGGGATTACAGGCGTGTACCACAGCACCCAGCCCTTTTTTATTTTTTGAGACAGGGTCTCACTAAATTGCTGAGAGCTTCAAACTTCCAATCCTCCTGTTTTCAGCCTCCAGCGTTGTTGGAATTACAGGTATGCTCCATGGCACTCAGTTTACCTAATATTTTTCAAGATACAGGAAATACTAAGCTGATGATGCACAGATGTGGTCACTGGAAAACTATGGATAGAAAGGAGATAGGGCATAGAAGGGAGATCAGTACAGAGAGGAAGGGGACAAGTGGGAAGGAGAGGAGGGAAAGGGTCCTGGGGAGTTCAATGGACCAAACTGTGTTGTGTGCATGTATGAATATGTAACGATGGATCCCACTAATGGGCATAATTATAACCCACCAGTCAAGGCCAGCCTCAGTAATTCAGCAAAGGCCCGTCTCAAAATAAAAGGAGGGCTGGGGTTGTGGCTCCGTGGTAGAGCGCTTGCCTGGCATGCGTGAGGCAGGGGGTCTGATCCCCGACACCACATAAACAAACCAAATAAACAAAATTAGGGTATTGTGTCCATCTACAACTAAAAAACTATTTAAAAAAAATCAAAAAGGGCTGGATATGTGGCTTAGTGGCAGAATGCCCCTGGGTCAATCCCCAGTACTGTAAAAAGCTAAGTTTTTTTTTTAAAGCCCTAACATATGAGAGAGAGAGAGAGAGAGAGAGAGAGAGAGAGAGCGCAACATCCTGATTGTGGTTGATTAGGGAAATAGACAGGGACCTGTATTTTTCATTAAAAACAACCTGCTGCTATGGAAAATAATGTGGTAATTCCTCAAATAGTAAAGTTAGACTCACCATATGGGGGCTGGGGCTGGGGTTCAGTAGCAGAGAGCTTGACTTGCACGTGTGAGGCACCGAGTTTGATCCTCAGCCTCACATAAAAATAAAGGTATTGTACCCATCCACCACTAAAAAATATTTTAGAAATAAAATAAAAAGAAAAGAATCACCATATGGTCCAACAATTCCATTCTGGTTTTTACACAAAAGGATCAAAACTGGGATCTTGGACACATTTATGTTCATGCCGCCACGATTCACATAGTAAAAAGATGGAAGCAACCCAGGTGGCCATCAGTGATGAATGGGTAACAAAAATGTGGTCCATTCATACAATGGGACATGGCTGCACTCAAAAGGGAATGATCCTAACCATAGGAAGTGAAAGAAGACAGGCACAGAGGGACAGTGCTTATGACTCCATCTCCATGAGGTACCCTGAACAGTCAGATTCCTAGAGGAAGAAGGGTGGTTGTCAGGGCCGGGGGAAGGGGAAAAGGGAGTTAATGTTTAGCCTCAACAACTAAGCAAAATCCAGTCTCAAAACTAAAAATTAAGGGCTGGGGATGTGGCTCAAGYRGTAGCKCGCTCGCCTGGCATGTGTGCGGCCCGGGTTCRATCCTCAGTACCACATACAAAAAAAGAGGTTGTGTCCACCGAAAACTAAAAAACAAATAAGTATTTAAAAAAATAAAATTAAAAACTGGGTGAAGCTCAGTGGAAGAGCATCCCTGGGTTCAACCTCCAGTATCACAAAAATAAAAAGTAAAATAAAAAGGACTGGGGTACAGGTGAGCGGTAAATACCCAGGGGTTTAATCCCCAGTACTGCAAGAGAAGCAATTTAGTGAGTCCCTGTCTCAAAACAAAACAAAACAAAAAAGGACAGGGAATGTGGCTCAATGTTACCTCTGGGTTCAATCCCTGGTACCTAAAAAAAAAAAAAAAGGGAGGGAGGTGGTGCAGGGGTTGGGAATAGAGCTCAGTGGCAGAGAACTTGCTTAGCGCACACAAGGCCCTGGGTTTAATGCCCACCTCTGGGGAAATTTAAGTCAACTACAGTGGTGTGCACCTGTGGGACCACCTTAGGAGGATCACTGGAGCTCAGAGCTCCAGAGCAACATAGCAAGACCAAATTAAAAAAAAAAAAAAAGCCACTCTATCCAGTTGGCAATATTAGAGCAAAAGAAAAGGTGGGTTGAGGAGTCTGCACTGTTGGGGGAGGTGTTAAAGTCTTCCCAGAGGTAGTTAAGTCACCTGTGCTGAAGTAAAAATATTGACACACTTATATCCAGTGACCCAGGAATCCTTTCTAGATATTTCCCTGGAGACGAGGGAAGAGAATGTACTAGAATGTCAAGTATGGTGAAGTTTTTAGGAGCAGAGAGGGGGAAAGCACGCAATTACTGAAGGAATTTAGTAAGCTTTGCATTCCATCATATTTAGTCCTTTAGTCTTATGATCAGGACATCTGTGACTCRTTGAGAGAAAAGCTAGTTGAAGTGTCCCCATGTGGGCCACTTAGAGAAGTAGAGAGATGGTGGGGCCCTTGTTACAACACCCTAGTGGCTCTCRGTTACACGTAGGCAGTGGACACTTCTTGTCTGCATTTAGAATCATTACACAGTGATCACTAAAGGTTTGTTCATCTTAGAATTCAGTAGGATTAAGTTAGCTGGGCTTCCTGAATTTTCAGCCAAACAGTTTTAAGCAAACAAGGTTTTTCTGGTTTTGTTTTTTGATACTGGGGATTTAACCCAGGGGCACTTTACCACTAAGCTACATCCTGCACCACCACCTTTGAGACAGCCTCAGCAATTTAGCGAGACCGAGTTCAAGCCTTCAATCCTCCTGCCTCGGCCTCCCAAGAACCAAGGGGCTTTTGTCTGGGGTAGGCAGATTAGGGTTTTGAGAGTGGCTCCAGGGTGATTTCTTGCTGCACTGTTCACTGCATGGGGTTTTGTGTCTTCATGGTCGCAAAGTGGCTGGGGATCAACAGGCATCAGTCTGCTCCAGACCGAAGGAGGGCCAAGGAGAAAGTCAGATCTCTTAGAAGCCTTTTATGAAAGTCACACTAGCAAGTTCCTTTTGCATCTCATTGGCCAGAAGTGAGCCACAGTCAACTCCACCCCCAGAACACTTGGAGACATGGTGTCACCTTCAGTGCTGAGGAGCCTTTTCCTGTCCAACCTGGGCCAAAAGGCAGCCAGAGCCCCGCATCAATCAGTCACTACCCCAGGTGATTTATAGGAGAGATTTATTTGAAGAAATATTACAACATATAAAAACTACATAAAGTCTTAATTTCCACTTGTACAGTGGTAATTTGATATAATGCATAATAAAAAACTTTTAAAATCCAGAATGCACAAAGAACTGCACAGTTTGATCACTAAGTCATTAGTTCAGYAAACCTCACAGAACAGCTTCATGTCAGCCAAGGCCACAAACACTGTGTACAACACATCTGAACTGACAGATTTAAACATGTTAAAAATACAACATCAGTGCATGTTGGGGATTCCTGGTGCCAGAAACAAGAGTGATGGAGGGTGAAGCTAGTCCTTAGCAGCCACCTCTTCCTTTACTTTAGCTGAAGGGAAACAAAAGGAAGAATTACCTTGGGAACAGTGTCACACTAAGCCATAGGCAAGCATAAGAATATACTTAGGGCTGAGGGTGCAGCTTCATGGTAGCACACTTGCCCAGCATGCTTGAGGCCTGGGTTCCACCCCAGCCCCATACACACACAAAAAAACCCCATCAAGTTGGGAAGAATTAACACCCCGGATGCTAATGGTGGACCCAATGAAGACCTGTCAGTTACAAAGGAAAATTTGGAGGTCATGCTCCCTAGAGTCTGCTCCACTGCTTGGGTTAGCCTAGGAGGGAGGGACCTGGCAGTATGCCTACCATGTCAGCTCCTGTTCTAAGCCCTGGATGTGAGATCACCAGTCCTCAGAGCACCCCTCTGCTGGGTGGACAGGGCTGGTGAATCTCATGAATCCTGGAGCAGAGCTGTATCTAGCTGCCCTCAGACACAGCCAGAGGGAAGGCAGGCTCAGGAGGAAAGCCATCCACCAGCCCCAACCCCGCATACCTGAGGCACTCTCTCGAGCTTTGGCCAACATACAGAGCTTGATCTCCAAGCCAATGGCTTTGGCCAGGGGAGGTGGCACAGCGTTACCCACCTGCAGGAAGAAAGAAGGGTGCTGCTTGCTTGGCAGAGCTGGACCAATGCCCTGGAACAGCCTCTACTCAGAACAAGGCATGATGTGGGGAATGGGACCCTGAGGGCTGGGGCTGGCCTCCTGCCCATGTCCCACATGGGCCCCCAAGGCCTTTCTATCACAATGGCCCTTGGCCTTCCAGTTGGCCCATCCCCCCAACACCCATGTGTCGTTAAAAAAAAAAAAAAAACTTTTAAAGAATTCTGGTTTTTTTTGTTTGTTTGTTTAGTACCAGGGATTGAACTTGGGGCACTCAACCATATCCCCAGTCCTACTTTGTATTTTATTTAGAGACAGGGTCTCATCGAGTTGCTTAGCACCTTGCTTTTGCTGAGGCTGGCTTTGAACTTGTGATCCTCCTGCTTCAGGCTCCCCAGCCCCAGGGATTACAGGCCTGTATCACTGAGCCCGGCCCTTTAAAGGGCTTTAGAAGACTCAAAGCTAGAGAAAGGGAAGCTGCCAAGACATGCTGTGCTCCCAGTCAAGAGCCTTTGCTTCTGGGAAGCAGATCTGGGGTAAAAGGTGGCTTTTGCTAGGATCCCAGGCCTTAATGGGAGACTTTGGTACTGGGGATTAAACCTAGGGGCGCTTTACTACTGAGCTACAGCTCTGCCCCACCCCCCCCCTTTTTTTCATTTTGAGACAGGGTCTCACTATATTGCTTAGATCCTTGAACTTGTGATCATCTCCCAAGTCACTGAGATTGCAGGTATGTCACCTCAGCTCTGCTGGATGAGTCACTACATTGATGGCAATACATCTAAAAGTCACACTACCACACCAAGAATCCGGTCCATTTGAATCCTTAGTAATGGTAAGTTTGCCACTGTGTGTTTAACCTGTTCCRTTGGGGTCTCTGAACTTTCCTTTGGGCCGAATCTCGGCCTCAGAGCTACAGATCACATGCACTTAGCGACATAGCCCAATTCGTAAGCTCTCAGTGCCAGCAACAGGGTGACTTGGTTCCATGGTCCCCCTGGGCACTGAGCGCTGAGAACATGTGGCTGACAAGCTCTGGTGCTCAGCCCGTCTTTCGAGGCTGTACAGGGCTCACTCTGGACAGAGGGACAGAGGTTCCTTTCCATCTAGGTGGGGCTGCAGCAGTGATGTGCGACCAGCCTGTTCACTGACCTGTCGGTGCCTGTCCAGGATGTTGCCAAACAGCYGGTAGGTGTCGGGGAAGCCCTGGGAGCGGGCGCACTCCCGCACACTCACCACGCGGTGTTGCTCGGGGTGAAGCACACGTCCCTGGGGGCAGACAGGCAGGGTGCACGGTGGGAAAGGGGGCAAGTCCAGGGCTGGCTCACCAATGGGGGAGGGGGTGTCCAGTCAGGGCCAGCACACCCACCTCCACCAGTACAGGGTGTGGGAGGCAGGCTAGACCGACATGCGCCCCACCCCTCCCAGTGCAAGGCCTGGCTGGATGTCCCTGCCCAGGACCCACCTGCTTGCCCATAGGCTCGGGGTTGGTGACGGTTGTGCTGAAGAAGCCATCCCACTCAAGCCGTCCATACAGGCCAGCCCAGTGGTTGTGCCTGTTTCCGGTGTGGGGCAGGCACCAGGGGATGAGGGTGTTAAACTGTCTGGCGGAGGGGTCACAGGCTTTGCCTGCTGGAAGAGAAGACTGCAATAAGGACGCAGCGGCCGGAGGGGCAGGAGGGAGGCCCAAGGGGGTGCAGAGAAGCTTTGGGTACACGGCTAGCCCCCACTGTGCATAGCACTCACCCACTGAGCAGCTGGCAGTCCCACTTGGTGGGCAGAGCCACTCTTTAAAAAAATTTATCTATTTATTTATTTATATGTGGTGGCCGGATCGAACCCAGTGCCTCACGCATGCTAGGCCAGCGCTCTGCCACCAAGCCCCAGCCCCAGAGCCACTTTGACTTAACACTCCTGGAAACTAATTTTTTGGGGATTCCGACTTGGCGAGGGCCTCCAGCTTAAGGAGGCAATGCCCAAGTATGGGCTTCTGGGGAAGCCTAGCAGCAGTCCCCTCCCCAGCCCCTACTGCAGGGGAGCCATGATCTTTGGGTCCTAACCTTCCACACAGGAGCAGACTCCACGGAGGGCGCCGGAGCTGCTGCGGCCATTCTTTTTGTCGTGGTAGGTGTAGCGCAGTTTCTTGGCCAGGGTGCCGTCAGTGAGTTGCACCTCAATGTTGGGCAGATCGCGCCAGTCTGAGCCCGGGGCCAGGGGGATGTGACGCATACGGGCGGCCACCAATGCGCTCATGTCCTGAAAGTGCATAAGGAGCCCTGGCTGTCACCTGGCGTAAGGGGAACCTGAGTATACACTGTGGCTGGGCATCGCTCTGGGCACTGGGAACACCAGTGTGACTCGGAATCTTAGGGGCTCAGGTCATGGGGAGGGGCCAAAAAGTTAACCTAACCCCAGCTCAGGGATGACCACATGACACTAGGGCCTTAAGAGATGCGGAATAGTGTTTGGGGAGGGCTAGGGAAAGAGTAAGTGAAGGGATAGAGGCAAGCATGACATTGAGTGGATGATACAAGCTTTGATTAGGGGCCAAGAGTGGAGAGGCAGTGGCTATGCATTGGCTGCGAGGACCCCAAGAGGAGGAGAGGGCCTAGGAATAGTCTGCGCTGCCTGGCCAGAGCTCAGCCCACAAGCTGGCTCCTGGAAAGTGACTGTCCGGGATGCGGGGGAGCCAGGCTGTGGCCGATGAGGCACCATCCTGAAAAGCCACTACCTTACAGATGTGGTCCCTAAGGATGGGCTGGTAGTGCGAGCCCCGAAGCTGCCTCTGGAACCAGGACTGAGGCTCCCCGTTATAGGAGATCTCCTGCGCCGAGGCCCCGTTCCGGATCTCAGGGAGGTCCGACATCGTGTCCCGCACTGTGATGGTTCGGAACGGACCTGAGCTCAACCTGCAGCAGAGCAGAGTCGATACTGTTGGGATCACACACTGCTGTCCCCTCGTCATAGCTGCCACCCCTGGYTATTAGCACTGCCCTCTCCAGAGCAGACTGCCCAGCTCAGGTCATTGCTGTCTGGCGCAAGTGCAGCCTTCTTTAGCTGGTTGAAGCAGAGAACAGCTGTGGTGTGGCCTCTGCAAGGGGCTTTGCTTGTGACYGAAGCTAGGCATGTGGCTATCTGCTACACAAGGGGTCAAACCCAAGACTGGAGGTGGCACAGAGCAACCTCATGGCAGGCTGTCCATATACTACCATCTGCTCCTTGGCTCAGGCCTCTAGACAGACCCAGCAGCCAACCTCTCCAGGTGAAGCCCATAAGCTCATGACAGCCGCCAGCTCTGAGTGGCACAGGGGTGAGAGGCCCCTACCTGGTGATGTTGCTGACAAACTTCTTATCATCCACCACGACACTCAGCTGGCAGGCACGGGGTGCAAAGACGTGCAGGGGCTCTGGGAACAGGGGGAGTTTCTCTCCAGGGGCCGCAGCCAGGATGATGGCCCGCCTCCGGGTCTGGGCCACACCATACTGACCAGCCTGTGAGTAGGGTCAGACATGCATGTGGTCAGTGGGGCATCTGACCATGTGGACTCAGGACTGGGGCCCACAGCACCTAACTTTCAGAGGACATAGGACAAACTCGCCTATAAGATTCCTAATTGACCCTGTGGGTTCCTTTCTAGTAAGAGGCCACTGGAGAGGATGAGAAGAAGCTGGTGACTTCAGCCAACTCTGTGGAAAACTGCACGGAACCTCAAAAATAGGTGAGCGCTTTGCCACTTACCTGATGGTGATGGTCACAGGGACAGACTGCTGACCAGGCTTCACTGGTCCCCCTGGTGCTCACTTACTCAGGGGACTGGGGCCCAGTGTCCTCCCACTTTGATAGCTGCTTCATGTTAAGTTACACTCTGAGCAGAGGTCCATGGAACAGAGGATTTTCAGCTAAGCCCTGGCCCCTGACTATTCCTATCCCTGCTGACAGGCCATTGGGAGCTTCCTGGAGTGTGCTTCCTGGAGGTTCTGCACACACACACACACACACACACACACACACACACACACACACGTATAGAAGGAAAAGCACATGCTAAGGGGAACTCAGCTGGTTCAGGGCTCTACTGTTCTCACATCTCCCTGAAGAAAGGGTGAAGCAGCGTATTCCGGCACTCTATGCTGGCTCGCGCCCTCCCTAGGCACTGAGGGGATGCAGCTCTCAAGAGGATACCAAAAGGTGGCCTTGCTAGGGGCTGGCCATTTTTATATCCAAGTCCTGAGAATGCCATCCAGGGGAGTGCAGGCACAGGTGTCCACCTCCCTAACCCTAGCCATCACTGCAGGGGACTATGCTGCCATCTGTGGCTTGGACAGTGAGCCTATGTACCCTCTTTTCAGACAGCAACAGTAACCGAGGGACCACTGCCCAGCCGGCTTGTGTCCAGGAGCCCACCTGCAGCACGCCAAAGGTACACTGGTAGCCCATGCAGACGAGGCAGCGGAGGGTGAGCTTCAGCACCATAGAGCGTTTGAAGGAGACGAAGTTCCTGACGTTCTCCAAAAGGAAGAACCGGGGCCGGTAGTAGTCACAGTAGCTGTGGGGGGCAGGAGAGACCACGGGAGTCACCCATACAGGGACTGGGGAGAGCGCCATCCTACCCGAAGCTGCTTGGGAGTCTTACTGAAGCTGTGCCTCTTAATGTGCTGGCTCCAGCACTGCCTAGGGATTTCCTGGGTGCACAGCCTAGCGTGGGGCACATCTGGCACTCCCGTCCAGGTAATGTCTTTGTCCTCAGGGAGTAGGTGACAAAGACTTCCATCTCACTTACCTGAGGAAGGAGACCACTAAGGAGTTTTTGAACTTTGAGTAGGTACGAGAGTTGAAGCGGTTCATGCCGCTAAAGCCTTGGCAGGGGGGCCCGCCACACAGCATCTCCACGTCGCCCTTCTGGGGCAGCCTCTGGCCACGGCTGTTGGTCTTCTCCCCGGCCATAACCAGCTTGAGCAGGACATTGCAGTCCTCCGTGAACACCGTGGAGCGGGGGTTGTTCAGCCTGCGCCGCGGGATCCCACATTTCAATGGCCCACAGAGTCTCGGAGACGCCTGGTGCACACAAGGACAAAAGGCATGCTCTGAAGCCTCCCATAAGAGGCCAGAGCCAGGATGGTGACCAGGGCCAGCAGGGCTTCAGGCTAAAGCTGCTGGATCCAGTCTGACTAGTTCAGAGAAAAAAACAGCCAGAATCCTTACCTGCTTGGTGGAACCCTTCCGACAACCCCCCACAGCCAGAAAACACGTCCAGGGTCCGCAGCTTGGGCAGTTTTATTGCTGTCTCTGGTTTACTGGGCTCAGAGGCCTGAGACTTCGTCTTGCCTTTCCCTAGGGGGAACATGCCACAAATTAAAGCCAACTGACAGAGTCCTACCAGGCTCAACACTTCATCAAAGAGCCTCATTTTGAGTCGTTAACAGCACAGTGTGAGGGAAAGGCAGTGGTTCCGAGTCCGTAAGCGAAACCTACAGTTGGTGCAGCTTAGGGGCAGAGTGCGTGCCCAGCATGCATGAGGCATTGGGGTTTCATTTTTAGTACTGAAGAGAGAAATAAACCCTGCAGATAATGACATACCTTTCCCCTTCCCTTTTCCTTTATTCCCCGGGCTACGGGCATGATTTGGAGGATCTTCAAAGCTTTTGGTCTTTGCATTATAGGCCTGAAAAGGAGAGAACCACAACAGTCAGAAGGAAATGACTTAATCCCTTCCCTGATAGGATACGTAAGTCAGTCTGGCAAAGAGTCACTTAATGTCTCCCCTAAACAGACCCACAGCTAATTAGCCACCAGTATGAGCAGTCTGATTTTTATTTTAGAAACTTTAAAATATATACTTTATCTGGCCAGTGTTAAAACTTTGGCTGTGAACATTTGGACTATTCACTCTGAACAGGGAACTGTTACACAAAGGGTCCACCTTCCAATTAGGCCAACAATGCAGGAACCTGGGGAAATGCTGACGTGTGCTGTTTTAAGATAACCCAACATGGAAAAGCCAAGCTTCAATGATGTAAAAGCAAGTAGCTTTATCAGGCTCCTGGATCCTTCCATGACCACAACTGTCTGTAAGGTAATGTGGGTCTGGCCTGGGCACAGGCACCTGGCTGAAGGGACCAGGTGAGGGACAGCACTGTCTCCTGGGAAAGAGGCACCTTTTTCCAACCCACAAAGGCACTGGTCGGGCTACTGAAGGCCACCTAGCAGGCTTGGCTCATAGACCAGTGTTACAGATAGTGCTGTGGAGAATAAAGCTTTGCAAGTAACACCCAAAAACTCCTGATGAATAGGACTCATGGCACCCAACTACCTGGTTTCTTTCAAAAGTCAAAACCCTACTGCCAGTACTTTTTACGTATAACCTCACAATCAACTGCCTTCCTGAACACATTGCTTTCTCCTAAGTCTGACTCTGATGCCCCTCCAGCGAGCCTGGCCACCACCTCCAAGAAGTAGAAGCGGTCAGGGCCGCCTTCTGAGTACTCCTGYAGGCACTCCGGCAGGTCCTCCCCGTACTCCACGGTGCAGCGGCCCTGCACAGCCTGGAAGTCCACTACGGCCTCCTCGTCACTCCAGTAGAGCAGGTTGATGTCCGCATGGTAGCTCGCCGAGGTGGACTTGTGGGTGTTCTCGGGCCTGTGAGCAGAAGGTGCTTTGTGAGGGATTCTTTTGCTGCAAACTTACAATGAATCAGATGAAAATTCCTCATCTTAAACACCTGAGACCAGAAATGTTTTGGATTTTTTTTTTTTAAAGTTTTGAAATAGTTTCCATATGTAATGGAATCTTGGGACTGGTACCTAAGACTAAAATTCATTTGTCTCACTGGGCATGGAGGTGCATGCCTGTAATTTTAGCTTTCAGGAGGCTGAGGCAGGAGGATCTCAAGTTACAGCTAGCCTAAGCAATTTGGCCAAGTTGTCTCAAAGGGAAGAGGATGCAGCTCAGTGCAACCCAGATGCCCTTAGGTTCAATCCCCAGGACAAGGGAAGAAACTTTGTCTCACCGCACCTTATACACAAAACCTGAGGATTTTTTTTTTTTTGAGGGGTATGTCGGGGGGGTCTTACTATGTTGCCCAAGCTGGCCTTGAACTTACAATCCTCCTGCCTCAGCCTCTCAAGTAGATGGGATTAAGGTGTGTGCCAGCATGCCCAGCTTCTACCCAATTCTAACATGGTTTGACTGTACTATGTCAAGCATGACCTGGCTCCAGGTAGCATCTTCTAGAAGAGCCTGCAGCCTCTTGTAGAGGCAAAGACCTCCACTGACCTGTAGAACTTGTTCAGCCTGATCTTGATTTCTGACCCATTGGGCTTGCCATTGGTTTTCTTGGCACAGAAGATCTCTTTTATCCGGCCGATCCGGTAGGGCTCGGGGGCATCCAGGTTGCTGCCTTTGATGTAGTCAGAGTACTTTCGGTAGTGCTCTGGGTATAGATCCTCATCCACAGGCTCCTTCTTTGGGCGTTTCACAGGGCTAGACAGCTTGATGCTGCAGAGAATCAACAATCAGGGACAAATGAGTGTTTAAGCCAAGCAGTGATCAGTTTGGCAGGACTAAGCAGGAACCACCACCATTTCAGGTCCACAGCTTCCTGGCTACTGCAGTAAGGTACCCTCGGGTCTGCATCAAGACAGACTCTCGTTCAGTTTTAACCACTACACAAAAATTGCTAACTCCCTTCCTGCCTCCCAGGCATGGGGTATTTTGTACTTCTTGGTAAGTGATAAGCTCCAATTAATGAGCACAAGCAGAAGTGACACAGGAGCACTAAGCTACCGTGGCATGTCCAGCATGCTTCTCGGGAAGAGACTAGCAACTTCAAGGAGATGGCTCTGACAGCCCAGGGACTGAGTGATCCAACAGCCAAGCCCCTTGGGACAAACATCCCCACCTCCTAAGAGCTCAGAGAAAGTGTTGTGGTGTGCCGATTTGTGGGTGGTCACTATGGCATGACCTATGCCATCCCAAATGAAACACGTGACCTAGGAGCAGTGTTGGAGGCCCAAGGAAGGCACAGGACCTGGTCAACTCCAGTTTGGTCCAACACCCATGGTAAAACCAGCTGCTATTGCTCTGGACAGCAGCTGCCTCGCCTTCCCCACTAGGTCCCTCTGTCTGCTGGGCTCCCAGGGAGCCTCAGTGCTGTGCTTGGCCTATCTGATGCGTCAGGAGCACCGGGCAGAAAGCACAACAGGGAGGCCACCCCTCCACCCCAGGACAACCAGTGCCTGAGGGGTGACACAGCCGAAAGACACCAAAGCTGGAGGCACCCTGCTTCCTGTATCCCTTAGCTCAGTGACTGAACTAAGGCTGGGGAGCAGGTTCCCAGTAGAACTCTAGGGAAATGAAACTAGAAATCCAGGAATTGAACCAAGTTCAGAAAGTGTTGGTTTTAATTCCAATCATGGGACTCTTGAGACAAGGAAAGGATCACATGTGGGAATTACCTATGGCTTTGACTTCTTCCCTGGAGAGTCTCAACCCTCCTATAGACGAGAGATCTTCTGAAGCAAGGAACTCATGCACACCACACCAGTACCATAAACCAGGCCCTGGGCAAAGCCCCAAACTCAATCCCCAGAGACCTTGCAGGAGAGGTGCACTCTGCCATCATGCAGTGGCAAACAAGAAGAGGCCTTAGGGCTGGTCAGAGCTGGAGAGGGACCCCAGGTGAGTGCAGCACTCTCAGCCTCTTACAAAGTCACAGCTTCACTCTGGTAATTCAGATGTTAAGGTCCCCCAGAGGCTTCTATGTCAAAGGCTTGGTCCCTGGGGGCACTCTTTAGAGATCCTTAGGTCACTGGGCTTGTGCCCTTGAAGGGAATTGTGAGACCCAGCTTCTTTCTCTTTTCCTTTTCTGCTTCCTGCCCGTGGAGAGAAGTTGGTTTCACCATGTGCTCCCTACCACTGATGGCCATCCAGCACCCTCAGAGGTCCAAAGCAATGGGCTCTCTGGGTCTTGTACTAGAACCTCCACAGCTGAGGCAAAACACACCTTCTCTGTGTGAGTTACCGTATTTCATCACAGTTGTTGCCACCATATTAAAGTATATCCACAGACACGCTGCATCCTAATCTTGCTCTAAGGACAGTTTAGTAATGAATGACTTAAGTCATAGTGACAATGTTAAAATCTTCACCCCACTTTCTTGTAAGAATATTTGGCATAAAATCTGCAATGAGTGCTGGGATTGTAGCTCAGGGTAGAGCACTTGGCTAGCATGTGTGAGGCACTGGGTATGATTCTCAGATCACGTATAAACAAATAGTAATAAATAGTAAAGTGGCAACCAAGAAGAGGCCTCAGGGATAGTCAGAGCTGGAGAGGGACCCCAAGAGAGTGCATTTGTGATCTTCCTGCCTCAGCCTCCTGAGTAGATGGGATTATGGACATGCACCATCACACCTAGTCCAACATTATTCTTAAATAAGTCCTTAAAGAGCTGGAGACAGCCTTAAAAATAAACATTGACAACTAGAAGATATTAAAAAAATCTGATGACTGTAGAGTGAAACACGGAGGTCACCTTGGGCATTTTATTACAGTAATGAAAACTCAACTGCTCAGGGGAACTGCAACCCTTCTAATGGACAGCGATGACCACAGATGCTAATAGGAGTAGTGGGGTAGTGTCTAATACTGAGGGATGGGGGGGACAGCTATGAGGGATCCGTGCCTGGCAAAGATGGGTACTCACTCACTTGAATGTGAAGGCCTCAGGAAGCAGGTACACGCCGTCGCCCACCCTATACAGGATGCCATTCTTGGTGGCAGAGCTGTAGATAATTTTGCTGTCCAGGTCAACAAGCTGCTCCAGAGCCCTGGGAATTTCTTTCTGCCTCATTTCGGCCAGTCG